TGGTAGAATGATAAGCACACGACTAAAAGAACATCAGTCAGCAGTACGTCTAAAACATTACTCACAATCGGCATTAGCAGAACACCATTTAGAAACTGGTCACAAAATTATGTTTGACCACACCCAAGTACTAAACAAAACTAGGGCTTACTTCCCTAGAAAATATATGGAATCTCTGGAGATATACAAACATCCAAACAATCTCAATAGAGACAATGGATATATGACTAGTTCACTATGGCATTCCATCTTGCCATAACACATCCTCCCCTTCTTCTTACCATTTCACCTCTCCTCCACCACACCCCTCCCACTCCAATCTAGCGCTATAAAAAGGGACACCTGACCAAGAGCATCTCAGTATCAGGCTGCTCTTTAAACCCTGATGAAGTGAGCTGTAATGTTCACGAAACGTCGGTATAAAAATGACACTAACGCGGTTCAAACCCGAAAAAACATCTTTGTATGTTAATACTACACACCGCGAAAGCATCAAATATCAAATTACATCAAGCGTTTTAAGTAAACTTTATTTAGCAGAGTTGTATATTATGGATCCATAGTCAAGTTTAGATCTAAGTAAAGCTTTAAATGTTTTGACTAAGATGGAAAAATTTGCATCCAAATGTTTTTATGCAATCACTTTCATAAAATTTAGTCTTATAATACAATTGTTTTTGATATTATTAATATGAGTTGACCACGAGAGACAGCTATCAAACGTGAGATCTAGAATTTTAATTTTATGTGTGATTGCCGATTGATAAGATTGGTTTTTTTGTCTGAGCTTTCTTTGGAACATTATAACTTTTGATTTGTCTTCTGAGAATTTGAATCTAGTTTTTAAGGAAAAGTTTTTAAGTTGGTCAAGTGTCTCTTGTAAAATATGTTGTGAGAATTCAGTGTTTTTTCAGAAATAAATACGTTAAAGTCATCAGCAAATAAGGTACATTTCTGACTGGTTTCTTGATAATATTTGTAACTTTGTTATTAATTTCGTTAATTGCGAGTAAAAATAAGGTGACACTTAGTACCGAACCTTGGATTTAAAAATGAATGATACATTGTTTAAAGAAATTGATTATAAAATTTAGGATGTTACCATTCAATCCGAGGTTTTGGAGTATTCTTATGATGCGGTCTCGCCATACCATATTATAAGCTTTCTCAATATCTAAAAAGACAGCGATTAGATGGCTATTAGTGACGAAAGCCTCGCAGATGTTGGTCTCTAGTGTAACAAAACTATGCTGCGGTGGTTTTTAAAGCCACTTTGATGGGGAGTTAGAAGCTTATTGTTTTCTAGAAACCGTCTGAGTCGCTTATCAATTATCTTTTCCATTAGTTTGCACAAACAACAGGTTAGAGACGGTAATTTTCAGAAGACCTTGGATCTTTCCCTGGTTTTGGAACTGGTACTACGGTTGCTTCACACTATTGTTGCGGAAAAACATTGTTAAGCCATATACAATTGAGTAGATCAAATATGTAATTGAGAGCTTCCATAGAAAGCACTGTTTGATAAAAATGATTGGAATCATATCTGGCCCAGGGCTGGAGTTCTTGCAAGTATGTAAAGTTGTTAACATTTCTTCTAATCTGATTTTGACGTTTAGTTTAGATGTTGATGGTTCTCCTAGGTTGATTTGGAGAATTTCTGGATGTTATTTCTATAATTACAGAAAAAGGGAAATTCTGAAATTCTCATCACTTGAATTCTTTGCAAAAGTTATAGCAAAAAGTGATTTGCTATATCAAGTGGGTCGGATAATATTGCTTGGTCAGGAGTGAGGATGTTCGGCATATTTATTGTTTTGTAGTTTCTGTTTCCAGTTTATTCTTTTAAGCGTGTTCTATATTTCAGAGTCTGGTGTGTTGTTTTTCAGACTGGATATATAATTTATCTATGTTTTTCTACTTAGTTTGATAGTCTTTTGGGCTAAGGCCCGATACCTTTTGTACTTCAGTTTATTGGCTTCAGTGTTGAGGCATCTGTAGACATTAAGAGCATGTTTGAAGTTTTTGGTGGCTAGTTCACAATCGGAGTTGTACCAAACGCTTTTTTTATAGTTTCTGTTGTGAGTTTAAGAAATGGCTACAGTAGCGACTTCAATAATTAAGTCAGCGAATTTACCAGCTAAAATATTAATAAGATGAGCGTTTTTGTTTAAAGGAGGTTCCAGTTTATACATATTTTCTTTAACTGAGACCTAGAATTTTAGCCAGTCTGCTTTATGATATTTTCATCTAGGTTGATGGATGGTAGATGTGTTTGTATTGAATTCTATATTGATTACTAATAGAAAATGGTCACTGTCATATAGATCGAGGGAAGCTTGCCATCCTAATATATCCGCTATGTCAGGCGTGTAGAGAGTAAGATCAATGGAGCTGAATTTACCAGTTGCTGTGCTGAAGTAAGTAGCAATATCTTTGTTGTTTAGGAGAAATAGATCGTTCTCGATTAGTAACTTTTCGATTAGCCGACCTCTGTGATCTGCTTTATGTAATCCCCAGAGAGTGTGATGACTGTTGAAGTCGCCTAATATTGAAGGATTTAGGAAGTTGCACAGATCAAAATATACTGAGCAATTACTGCTTATTCCTTTTCTTTAATTTTACAATGTGCGTATGTCAATCTCTCTTTGTGTCTTATTTCAAAGGTTTGAACAGTTATAGTATGTTAGAACTTGAAAGTGACCGAGCGACTAATCAGAAAATTCTTGCCAACGTCTTTTTATATAAAATAATCTCTATAGCAGAAAAAGTTTTTCTGTCTTTTTTCTGGAAACATTACATCTATCAACTATAATAGAAACTAAGAAAATAAATCTCTCATAAAATATAATGTAAAGTATTTATTCAAAGAAGGTTGGTACCTGGATATCTCGGTTATTGAAATCGACTACTTATATAAACTTTGACGCAAAACGTTTTTACTATTGGATTTAAAAAAAATACAAGCATAATTTAGTAGTAAAGAACTCAAATTGCGACGATCCGGATAATTTCAAAAATATTTATATAAAAACAAAAATTTTAGGAAAAAAATCTGTTCGAGCCATGTTCCAATTCATCATTGTGTAACTTGATGAATTTTTTTATTGTGTTCAAAGGTCTAAAATGAATATTTGAAATTCTTTTTCTTTAAAGATTTGGCCAGATTATCCGTAATCTCAGAAATAAACAAGAGACTAAAGAGTTGTCTTTACTCTCTCCCGTTTGTTTCTGAGATTACCGACAATCTGGCTAGATTTAAAAAAAAAAAAGAATTTCAAATGTTTCTTGTGCAACATAATTTGCAAAATTAATTGCTTGTGACACCTCTTATGTAAGCTAAACAGAAAGACAATTATGGACAAGATTGGCAGAACAACGTAATGTTTATCAAAATTACGAACGGCAGTCTGTTGTTAATCAACACCGTAGTGATATTGACCATGATTTCGAGTGGGATGAAGTTGAAATTTTAGACAAAGAACAGTTTTATCACAAAAGACTAATCTCAGAAATGCATATAAAAACACAAAAGGTAAATGTCAATCTAATGAAAGATACCAAACTTCTTGATGCTATCTACACTCCTATTCTTAGTAAACTTCATTAGTCACGTATTCTTAGTCACGTGTTGTTTTTTCTCTCCTCCCTCTCTCTATTTCTCGAGTTTGATTTTATGCGTTATTTCTGACACCTCTCATACATGTATTATATATTGTGAGACGGTCATGCTTTGTTCTGTTTCCTTGTGTGTTGGCGAGTGCTGCGACATTTCAATCCGGTTTTTAATCTCACAGTTATAAGTAAGTGTAATTTATTTTTATTTATTTATTTATTTATTACATTTTTCATAGTTTCAACTTTTTATTTATTCTTTTGACTTCTACATTTTTTATATTTTGACTTTTTATACATACGATACTGACTTTTTCTTTTGCCTCAAATTTTATCACACTTACTGCTTAATTTTATATTATTTACTTTTATATTATTTATTCTTATTAATTTGATTTTTTGATATAGACCTTCGATACATAGACATCATACTTGATGTTTGGCATGTCTATGTTATTTGTTGTTTTGATTTGTTGTGCTTGCCGGCGTGCACAAGCGGTCTTGGTGATGACTAATCGAGCTAGGTGCGTACATATTTATTCTTATTGTATGTGTAATTTACATGTTTTTCCTTCAAACAGATATTTTTTATATTTTTATTTACTTTTTATATTTTACTTTTATGTATTACATTATTATTTACTTTGTAAATAGTGCTGAAGATGATTAATAATAAATTTTGATTGCAACATCCCGAAATACATTGCGTTTTGTATCATTTTTGAACGTCCAACTCTAACCTGGACCATAAGTTCTTTGGTTTTTCCTTCCTTTATATTCTCTTTTATACTAGAGAAGTATTTTTAATTCCTATTAATGAATGCAAATTGAGTAGAAACTTAAGAAATACCGATAAAACAGGACGGTTCAGCATCTTCTTAAAGAGATCCTAAGTCTGTTTTATCGATAAAACTGAATTTTTCGCGCACACTAAGTTTTTTCTTGGCTGTATGGATTGACAAATCCTTTTCTACGATTAAAGTACAGTTGGCGAAGTACAGTTGTTCGTCAATGAATCGTTTCGTGGACGCGGGGAGCTAGGAGTAAGAGGGACGGTATTCCCTAGCAGTAAATACTGTAATTGGTCAATTCATTGAAATCTGCTATAGTTAGTTAGTGCGGCGCCCGTTGGCAGTACTTACTCCTAGGGAATACCGTCTCTCTTACCCCTGGCTCCCGGGGCTACAAAACGATTCATTGACGCCGACTGTACATACAATAAAAGATACGGGAGGTTCAAATTTATATAACAAAATGAAAAAAATTAAAATTTTTAAAACAAGTTTGTTCATCTTATATAACAAAATGAATATAATTTATACGGACCCACTTTAGGATCTCCTTAAGAAGACGCAACATATCTTTTTGTATAATTCATTCTGCATTTATTGGTCGGAATGAAAAACGTTTTTTTCAGAATAGACAAAACAATATGCTAAAAAATAGCCTAAACAAAAATAGTAAATATCCAGAAAAGGAGCACATTTGGAGGTAAATGACCTTAACATATGTTGTCAAGGACACCTTTCTGAACAACAATCTGTAACTTTTAACCGTCGCTCGTTGTTCGTTAAAAACTTATAAACATAAGAAGTTGCGGCAATAAATTTGTTATTCTCCGACACCGTGTACGTTTTGTTCGTGTTGTAAGCGTGTAGGCAGAGGGGGGCTACGCTCCCCGCAGAGGGAAGGAGCTTCGCTCTTCCTCCCTGCTTCCTCTTCATGAAAAAGTAAAGGCATATAATAACATCAATATGCACGATTACACTCACCATATAGTAAATCACAAAGAACATTTCGTAGATCCTCATACTAATTGTCACACGCAAAACATCAAAAGAATTTGGGGTAATTATTTACAATAAGGGAGCCACCTCCGATTTCAATAATTTTTACATATGTTGTTAAGGTCATTGTCCCGAGTAATAATATGAAGGTTTTAGGTCGCGGTCGTTGTTTGTTTAGAAGTTACAGGAAAGAAGTCTACTGAACAATATGTAATTTTTGGACATCCTATATATGAATAGGTGTTCTGCGTGTGTTTGGGCACATGTTTGTTTATACGCTTTTGTAGTTGTATCTTGAAAGGTCGTTTCATGGAAAATGCCTCTATGTTCGTGAAGAATATCTTTTTGATCATTATTTGGCCAAATTTGCATTTAAAAAAACGTTCGATTTTGATGAACGATTGGACGCTTTTTTTAAAATAATGCCTGTAACAGACATTATTTTTGATCTCACGTACATTTCGTTCGTGTTTCAAGCGTGTAGGCAGAGGAGGGGGCTGCGCCCCCCCGCAGGGGGAGTGGCTTTGCCCCTCCCCCTGCTCCCCCCTTGAAAATCAAGTCGTTATTTTGTGGAAAATAATGACTTGATTGGATGAAAAAGAATGTCTTAACCATTGTGGAAATTTTGTGAGAAGGAATGCAGAAAGAAGAGTTTAGGTTAGGTTAGGTTTTTAGGGGGGGTGCAGAGGGAGCGCAGCCCCCCCCCTGCCTACACGCTTGAAACACGAACAAAATGTACGTGGAACCGAAAAATAAGAATTCATTCATGAAACTTCTTCCTCTCATAACTTCTAAACAAACCACGTCCGCGGCCTAAAACCTTCATATTATTACTCGGGACAATGACCTTGACAACATATGTAAAAATTATTGAAATCGGAGATGGCTCCCCTATTGTAAATAATTACCGAATTTGGCGAGATATGCGAAGTAATATTCTACGCTTTAGAACATCGGTAGAATATTAATTGAATTCTTTACTTGACACTTAATTGAATTCTTCATTTTTTCGTGAGGGGAAAGCAGAGGGGAGGGGCAAAGCCCCTCCTCTTGCGGGGGGACGCAGCCCCCCTCTGCTTACACGCTTACAACACAAACAAAATGTACACGGTGTTGGAAAATAACAGTTTATTGCCGCAAATTCTTTTGTTTATAATTTTTTAACGAACAACGAGCGACGGCTAAAAGTTGCAGATTGTTGTTTAGGAAGGTGTCCTTGACAACATATATTAAGATCATTGATCTCCGAAGGTGCTCCGTTTTTCTGAATATTTACCACAAAAATCAACAAGAGAAACAAAAAAAAGATTGTGGACTGTTATTATGTAGACAAGATTTTTACTTTGTATACAAAATTGGCAGTAAATTGGCATGAATCACAACCTTGGCCATTCTAAAAAAATATTTTAAAATTTGTAAGAAAAAAAAATGTGACAACAAGATTAGTGCAGTTTTAGCAGAACAGCCGGAGAGACACATACATCTATCTTTGTCTCTATTATATTATCTTTGTCTCGGTCCGACTAGAGAGTGGCATCTGCTTGACAGCGTAGTGACTGAGCGGCGTCCGAATTCAACATCCTCTTAAGAATGGGAACGTTCTTAGTCACAGGAACAAATAAGCTCTATACGTTATCTATGCTACGTATATTACTCACCATCTTTGTTCATTCCCATTTGCATACATTTTTTCAGTCGGCAAGCCTGACACTGATTCCGATGTGCTTTATCCACAATGCACCTTCCAGTACCAGCTTGACATCTATTAAAAAGAGTGAGTACTTATTTATATTATCATACATATACATAACAAAATTATTTAAACAAAAAAAGTAAGACTTTCGAAATTCTAAACTAACATTAAATTGATTATTAAGAGACAAACGCTGGATGTTCGTGTCAAACAAATATACATGGGTCGACTGAAAAGTTTTGAGCTTCAACATAAAGTATTACTCGTCAAAACCATTCTGATACTACAATCGTACATGCTTTAAGAGATACCTGTGAAAATTATAGCCATTTTGGACGCTCAGTTGTTGTTTGACAGTCATTTGTGTCAGTCAATGTCAGTGGTTTTATAAAAATGGAAAAAATTGAATATCGTGCTGTGATTAAATTTTTACGCCTGCGCAAATTAAAGCTAAGTTGGACGCTGTTTATGGGGACTCTGCTCCATCATTTGCTACCGTGAAAAGATGGGCAGTTAAATTTAAACGTGGTCGTATCAGCGTATTTATTTTTACAAAACCACTGACATCGACTGACACAATTGATTGTCAAACAACAACTGAGCGTTCAAAATGGCTATAATTTTTACAGGCATCTCCTAAAGCATGTACGATTGTAATACCAGAATAGTTTTGACGAGTAATACCATCTTCATGTTGAGGCTCAAAACTTTTCAGTCGACTCTCGTATAAATATATAAATATATTTATATTATTTTAGTGTAAATATATACACGGCCGTTTCTGGCGGGAGTGCAGAAGGTGCCCCCGCACTTGGGCGGCCAAAGATCAGGGGCAGCTGTAAACTGTTTATTATATGCATTTTTCCCTCTCTATATTTGCTTTTTTCATATTTGTCTGTTTTTTTTTCTATATATACAAACTAATACACATAAGGCTGCATTCCGTTTCATGCATATGCGCGCATTTATCTATAGTATATCTTGCGTATACTATAGTATATTTTGCGTATACTATAAATCATGCGCGCATATGCATAGAACAGAACGCAGCCTAAGGGTCACTGCACACACTTTTTCGTAACGCGTTACGTTATATTAAGTACTGGCCTAAACTAGTGTTCACAGTGGTCTAGTTTCCACCGAAACATTAATTCACACCTACTGCGGCGTAGAATCAAATTTAAGTCGATGGAAACACGTCGAATTGCACTCAATTCACTTTTGCTTCGATCTATAAGTTTTACCGGAGTGGCAGCAAATTGACATACAATTTTAGTCGGTGGAAACGTTTGAAACTAAATAATGCTAACCTCTATTTTTCATTATGTCTGCATTATGTCGGGTCTTGTTAAGAAGTCGATGCAAGTTGAAAATAAAAAGATAAAATATATGATTGAATCATTTCCGCGGAGTCAATTAGAAGTTTCTCGGATTATATTCTTTTCAGGTTTTGTCTGTTTATATTTACACAAACGAGTTTTAAGTTGGCTCTACTGAAATATTAATTTTTCTTACTTCTATTCTACTTCCAATGGAAACGGAACACTAAATTTGATCTGTACCGGAGTGGAACCGAATTGAGGGTTTCGGTGGAAACTAGACCAGTTTTGACTCTATTACAACATGCTGCAGCAGTGGAGGGGATGCTCACAACAGTAGCGGGTACTTGCTCGTGTTTTTTTTATACGAGGACCCTTATTTTTGACCACGGATTCTCAAAGGGCGCACAATTTTACGTTCAGATATGTATCCATGTTGTAGGTCAAAATAATCTTCAAAGATCATTTTAAGGTCAAATCACTTATTTGTACAAAATCACTGGTAGGTACTAATTTAAAGGCAAGATAAAGGCAAGACCGTGAAGAACTCAGCCAATAAAGAAAAGACTTAGAATCGGCCTTAGAATCTTGTCTTCATTAGCTGTGTTCTTCACGGTCTTTATCGGTCGGACTAAGAATGTTGCCTTTATCTTGCCTTTATCTGGCCTCTATAGTCCAAGATAAAAAAAAGTTGTTTGTTTTATTGTGTTACGTCATGGACTTCACGGTCCCCTTTGTTTTGCAACGTGGGAACGATATTTCGGTTCTAAAGATCGTAACTAACTGTAATTTTAGATGTAAACTTCCTGGATGGAGAACGAGGAGTCGGCCAGTGGCGATAAACGAATTATAATCAGTTTAGACGCGGGGTATTGCCACGACGAGCCGACGGATTTGATTTCTAACTCGCAGTAAGACAAAGAGTGATAAAAATTTTCGCACAGCAGCCGAGGCGAGTAACTCGAATCGGGCGGGTGGAAATCAAAGATCCTCCGGAAAGGAAGTTGAAATCGAAACCAAGTTAGTGGTCAGTCGTGCAAATTTAAACACGATAGCACGAAGCCGATAGCGAGTTTTAAATAAGAAATAGTTAGGCCGATTTGGCCGACGTCGGTGATTGGCGTTCTCGTTTGTGTGGATCTGCGAATCAAGATCCGATTTTTAATCTAAATAATAAGAAGAGATTCAGAATTCAAGTTTGATTGGTAAAACCCAAGTGTCTGGGAGCCGAAGAACCAAGTATAAAAACTAGAACTTGGAGCCGAAGACAGAGCAATCTTCTTTTCATTCAGTTAACAGTCTGCTGTATAGTACGTCGCAAATTCTTATTAACCGTGCGCTAGTTGGTGCGATAGTGACAGGTTATGCCAGTGTCGTGACAAAGAACAACCGGGTCAGGAGCCGAACCAGCTTGCCTACTCCGCAGTCCTAGATGAGGCGAAAATTTGACTGTTCACCGAAGAATTGCAGAATTTGCAAGTAGTAAATCGAAATAATAGTAACAATAATTAGTGCGATAAGAAAACCGGTGGTTCCATATTAAACTTTAAACTTTAATCCTCTGTTTCAATTGAGGCGACTATCATCCAGAATATTTAATTGCGTTGAACTGGCATTTCTCATTTCCGATCCTGTCGGACTAGCGACTCACGACCTTGTGTGTCGTTCCGAGCCGCTGCTGACTTCCGTTTCTGTCGGACTAGCGACTCACGGTCTTGTGAATCGTTTTGAGTCGCTGCCGACATTCTCTTTCGGTCCGTCCTCCGTGGTGCTAAACAACGTATGCTGAACCACATTCCGGAAGTTAGTCGTAAAATTATTCAGCGTTAGTTAATGAAATTAAATTACGTTTTAAGTAAAACCCCTTTTTAGTAAAAGTATCTAAAATTTCAAAACGCAATCATAACTAGGCGCAACCGCCGCAACCGGGTTCTTTGGCGCAGAGGCGCTGCCAGCCGAGACAACCAACAAATCTACGAGAATAATAATAACCCGGAAGAACAAACTAACAGCAATTATCAAAAATTACGACAAACACATTCGACTCTATACCGGACTCAGTCGCCTCTCCTTTCTCTTCCGCCGCCTCCTGCGCCTTCTCCACCCCTTTCGTCTTCATCATCACTTTTAGAATCTCCATCGTATTCTCCAGTAGCTCCTGGAGAAATTCCTGATTCTCTTTCTACCCCTCCTCCTCATCATTCTCCCTCTCCTTCTCCTGAATCATCCAAATTCGACATTCAATCTGAAAATGAAGAAGATCCTTTACCTCGTCAACTGTCACATTTCATATTGCTTGCTAACTCTTTTTCTGTCGCCAACCTTCCTCCTTCAAAGAATGAATTAATTCTTGACCTCCGAAAGAAATTTCCTAACTCTCTCGTCATGCCGTTAGTACCCTCCCTTCCGATCACAATATTCTGGTTAAATTTCCTGGTTTCCCCGAAATCCGCGAAGTTTTTATAAAATATTTATATCAATTCTATCCTTGTCTTTCAGCAGGAATAAAAGAAATAATAGAAGTAACTTTGGACGACTAAGTCACACATATGTATACATAGACACACACAATCACACTTACTCATGCGTACACAGACATTTGATACTCGTAGAAACCACAGGATCGTGACCATATGTAAACTATAATACACATGAATTGAATAAAAAATGTTAATAGAGTGGCATCTAAATAAAATTGGCTAATGTTAATTAACCCTTGGATCTCACGTAACCGTTTTCATTCCTGTCATTCTCCGATTGATCACTAAATTCCGTCCCAAGTAATTTAGATTCGTTTCCAAGATTCGAAAGGGAAACGACGAGCGAGAAGCCGTTGAACAAGCAATAGCGAGAAACACTCGTTGGCTTGTTTACGACACCGAAATCTCGTTCGACCCGCGCACTTGACGCTCATATCTCTCTGGGTCACTATGCCGAGAGTTGACACGCAAAGTGTCATGTGTCAGATACGTCACTCTTTAAGGGCCCGACCGTTACCCTAGGCCCAGGACGTAATATATTGTAACATTTTCGTTTTATTTGCAACTGTTTATATCAACTCATCTGTAAATCTTTACTGCAATAAATGCTTAAAGTAGTGACCTTGCACTTCCAAGCACTTATGTACACGTTTTATAAACAATTGATGCACAGATAATAGAGTTTTTTCTTGATATTTCCGCAAGCATTTATGATTCGCTCTTTCATATGTTCAGCTCTTTCAATCGTTCATAAACCGTGTACATAAGTGTTTGGAAGTGCAAGATCACCACTTTGAACATTTATTGCACTAAAGTTATACAGATAAGTTAGTATAACCAGTTGCAAATAAAACAAAAATGTTATAATAAAACAAAACTTTTTTTATCTTGGACTATAAAAGTCGGATAAAAAAATTATTTAAATATAAGTTATTTGTTTTTTTTTTACATAGAATAAGATATCGTAAAAAAATAGAGGTTTCTATTTAAAAAAACAAGTTGACCTTCAAATAACCTTAAAAATAAGTCTACTTACTCAAAAATCAGTGACGCCATTTTGTTTCCCCTTCAAAACCAAGAAAATTTTTGTCTAAATCATTTTTTGAAAAATAGTTTTTGTGATATTCCGTTATATGCCAAGTTAAATGGTTCATCCTGTATACAGGGTGTCCCTAACTTGAGCATCCTAAATATCTCGCTTATTTTTTATGATAGAAGGATGCCGAAAAGGGTCATTATTTAGTTTGAGACAAATACTATAATAAACAGA